TTTTCTGCATGTCACTGTCCAGTTTTCCCAGCAACATTTGCTGAAGAGATTGTCTTTTTTCCCTTGGATATACTTTCCTGCTTTGTCAAAGATTAGTTGGCCATATGTTTGTGGGTCCATTTTTAGGTTTTCTATTGCATTCAATTGATCTGGGTGTCTGTTTTAGTGCCAGTACCATACTGTCTTGATGATTACAGATTTGTAATACATTTTGAAGTCTGGGATTGTGATACCTCCAGTTTTGATTTTCTTTTTCAGGATTGCTTTGGCTATTTGGGGTCTTTCCTGGTTCCATACAAATTTTAGGATTTTTGTCCTAGCTCTCTGAAGAATGCTGGTGTTATTTTCATGCGGATTGCCAAATATAGAAGTCGTTGATTGACACCTTTTTACCCATCACGTCAAATATGTAATCCCACTTATTTGGTGGGTCTTCTGGCCTGCCACTAATAATCTTATTGAGGATTCCTCATGCATGATGAGTCACTTTTTTTTTTTTTTTTTTTTTTTTTTTTTTTTTTGCTGCTTTCAGGATTCTGTCTTTGGCTTTTTCGTTTGATTATGTGTCTCTGTATGGACCTCTCTGGGTTTTCTTGGAATTGTTTGAGCCTCTTGTATTTGTACATCCATGTAATGAATGAATGAACGAATGAATGAATGAACACTACTATATAAATTTGTATTTAATACAAATAAGGTTTTGCTATTTTTCAGCCATTGTTTCTTCAAATAAGCTGATGGCTCCTTTTGTCTCTTCTTCTAGGACTCCCATAATGTGTATGTTGCTCTGCTTGTTTGTATACTATGTGCTTTGGGCTCTGTTTACTTTTCTTTATTGTTTTTTTTTCTCTTTGCTTCTCTGACTCCATAATTTAAAATGACTTGTGTTCAAGTTTACTGACTCTTTCTTCTTCCTGCTTGGATCTGCTGTTGAATCCTTCTCGTAAAGTTTTCAATTCAGTTATTGTATTTTTCAGATCCACAGTTTCTGTTTGGTTCTCTTTTATAATTTCTATCTCTGTTGGTATTCTCATTGTGTTCATATATTGCTTTTCTTATTTGCTTTGGTTCTTTGTTTTCCTTCAGCACTTTCAGGATAGTTAAGACGATCATTTTAAAGTGTCTGTCTAATAACTGAAACCTGTGTCCCTTTAGGGTAAGTTTCTGAAAATTTGTTTTGTTCCTTTGAATGGGCAACATGGCCTTGTGATCTGTTGTTGAAAACTGGACATTTGAAAAAAGTAGCCACCTCTGTCTGTCTTTGCAGCCTAACTTCATGCAGAGAAAGCCCTCCAGTAATCTGACCAGTATGAAAACTTAAGGTCTTCTTAGATCTTCAGGTCTTGGGCATGTGTCTTTCCTAGGCCTGTGCATGTGTGTTTTTTTCTCAAATTTCCCAGACATGATACTGCTTTCATATGTTTTAATTGCATTAAAAGTCTCATATCTGCTTCTTCTTGGGGCTCAAATGTTTTATTGTCCTCCTCTGCCTGTAGTCTCCCTCCGAGGTGGCCACAGTTCTACAGTTTCCACTCAGTGTGGCATTTGCCACTGCTTTCACCCACCTCCAGTCCGATATTCAAACTATGTCACAATTCCTATCTGAGCTCTGATTCAGATGAGGCAGAAACCAGTCTCTCAGGCAGCCTCCACACAGGGCAGAATACTGAAACAAATTCCAAGGCAGGGGCTGCAAATTGGGTGCCTTCCTCCTGACCATACTGTACAACACAAGAGAGGGGATGGGACAAGGGTAAGCAGCAGAAAACAACCTAGAATTTCTTACCATTTAGAGTAGGGATTTTTTATTGTTTGGGCATTAATTTGCTGTAGATCCTTGACTATTTCTAGAGTTTCTACACAGCTATTGTAGTCTGTTGTTTACTTGACGTTTCTGTGAGGAAACAAGGGCTACCTTGGAGCTCCCAGGTCTGCCTTCTTGCTTATTTCACCTCCAGAGGTACGTTAATTTTAAAAATAAATTCCCCCAAATATTCAGGAATTAAATTAGTCTCTTCTTTTGTTGTAATAATGGTAATAATGATAGTAATTTATTTTAATGTTTGTTTTTGAGAGAGAGAGAGACAGAGAGAGAGAGAGACAGAGAGAGAGAGAGTACATGTTGGGGAGGAGCAGAGAGAGAGGGAGACAGAGCATCTGAAGCAGCCAGTTGTGCGCTGATAGCAGTGAGCCTAATACCGGGTTCCAACTGATGAACCATGAGATCATGACCTGAGCCAAAGTCGGGCGCTCAACTGACTGAGCCACCCAAGTGCCCCGATAATGATAATAATTTCATTGAGTACCTACTATGTTCCCAGGCACTATCATATACATTTCACCTCTTTAAATAACTAATTTAAACTTTACTACTTTCTAGGTAGTATTGTACCCATTTCGTAGATGATAAAACTGAAGCACAGAGGAAACATACCATCTATGTGGAACTAAGACAGACACATAGGGAATGCAATTTTAAGGTTTTAATAGGTAACATGGAACTATTCCTGGTTTTATGTGACTTGAGAGGAGGTAGTTACAGTAGACCAGAAGAAGTTGGTTGGATCATACCCTACCCACTTCCCTTCATTCTATAAATGCTTTAAAATTGGATCTCAGTTCTTGAGCTACATTTTCATGTAGCTAAGGTAGTGGGCTGGCCAAATAAGTGCCCTTTTCCTTTAACATTGGAAATAACACATGATGTATGATCTTGACCAGGAGGGTAAGAGAGATCCAAAACCAGCCCTGTGGTGGGTGAATAATCAAGGTGATGAAGTGAAGTGGAGTTTCAGAGAGATGACAGACTTATCCCGCCGTGCAGCCAACGTCTTCACCCAGACCTGCGGCCTGCAGCAGGGAGACCGTCTAGCCTTGATCCTGCCTCGAGTGCCCGAGTGGTGGCTGGTGGTCATAGGCTGCATCCGAGCAGGTCAGTGACCCAAAGAGACCCCAACAGACTTTAGGTCTAGCCTGGAGCCAATGGGTCCTGAAATATTAACTTTTCCCTGCCCTTTTTTCTTATTCTTCATAGTCTTTTTCTTTCTCAGACTCCTTCAAATATTCGTTTGCTACTTCTCACTGTCTTCCTCAACTTATACACCCTCAAACACAATATCATCACTCTCTAATTCATACACAGACACAGACACATAAACACACACATACACACACACACACACACACACACTTTCTCTTGCACAGTTTCATTTTTTTTTTAAAAAAACATCAATTGTTAACATTTTGCTCCCCTCCCACGCTGAGACATTTAAGTATCAGTTGCAGACATTGTGGCATCCATAAACACCAGATAAACACCCGTAAACCCTGGAGCATGCATCTGCTATGATCCATGACATTCTCCTCACATAACCACAACAGAGTTATCACACAAGAAGTATAACTTTGATATAATATATATCCGTGGCCAGAATTCTTTAATTGTCCCAACAGTGTATTTTATACCCATTTTTTGTTTGTTTAAATCCAAAATCTGATAGAAGGTCATGCAATGCATTACATTGTAAGGTCTCCTCAATCTCCGTTAATCTAAACTTTTCTGCATGACAACATCTTGGAAATGTCTAAGCTAGTTGTTTTTCAGAAGGTCCCACAAAATTTGTATTTCTGACTCTTTTTTCAAGATTATATTCAGATAAACATTTTTAGTAGGAGTACTAAAAAGACAACATGCTTATCTCAATGCTTTACATCAGGAGATACATGAAGTTGGTTTGTCCTATCATCGATGATATTATTTACAAACACTTTTGTAAGGCACAATTTCCCTTTGTAATTATTAAGTAATCTGTACTGTAATACTTTTGAGACTGTGTGAATATCCTGTTCCCCAACTGTCTTTCACCCTGTTACATGAGAATCCATTGATGATTCTTGATTGAATTGAATATTATTATGGTGGTTTTATATGAGAATTTTCTAATTGTGTTATTCCCTCCACATTTATTCTGTGGAGATTTCCCTTCCCCCTTTTAATTGCATATTTATGTATCTATATAATGTAGAATTGGTGTGGGACTCCAGAATTTTTTTTAATTGCTTTAAAATGCATGGTCATATATTTCCTCACAAATAAAATCCTACATTAATCCATCAAGGTCATGTGTAATCAAGAATTAACAGCAACAGCAGAGAGAGTACAGAGAAGCCATGTCATCTGTAGAGCTGAGAGATGGCACATGGGAAATCCAAGACAAGAGCTGAGTGCTCTGGGATAGAATAAAAGAAGAATAGAATCAAAGGAAGGAGAGTCCAAGAATGGGCATAAGACATGCAAAAACTTAGAGTCAGGAGAAGTCTGTGTGAAAAATAGGCATCTTGAAATAGGGAATAGATTTGTAAGAGGAAAAGGTGGAGGGTGGGCAGTGCCTTCACTGTTGGGTGTTCAGAGTATGGTGCTTTCCTGGAGAGAGGGCACAGGTGCTGGTGAAGAGAAGAAAAGCAGAGGGGGAAGTCAGTGTTCTGTGGAACCTGAACAGGTAATAAAATGGAAGGTAGGTAGTAGCAAGATTCAGGATGAGCCATCTGGTGGAGAGATTAGAACCCAGTAGAGGCACACAAAGACCTGAACTAACTGTTGGTGATGGAAGATGGAAGGGAGTGTAGGAAAGTTAAAAGGATAATGTAGTTAAATTTGGGTATGAGGAATGAAGAAAAGAGAGGAGATTCAAGATGACACAAGGGACTGAAAGAGGAGGAAGTGAGAGGAGAAAAATGGAGGCAGGGATACAGCTAAACCTGGTGTCAAAGACACTGTACTACTTGCGTCCATAGTCTGTAGTCCCAGTCCTAAAGTAGGATTCACCTGTCTACTGGCTTGATCCACCTAGAGTAGAAGAAGGTTAGGTCAGGCTTTTCAAATTTCAAGATACATAGGAATCCCTTGGAGAGTTTCTTAAAGTGCAAATTCTGATTCAGTAGTTTGGGATGGGGCATGAGATTTTTGTGGTGCTGATGGTACTGGTCCATGGACCATACTTTGCACAGCAAGAAGCTAGCAGATTTCTATGCAGATAAGCCAGGCCTGAAACCCAAAAGTTCCTTTTTTCATCCCCAGGAATAATCTTCATGCCAGGAACCACCCAGATGAAAGCCAAGGACATTCTCTACCGATTACAAGTGTCTAAAGCCCAGGGCATCATGACCACAGATACCCTTGCCCCCGAGGTGGATTCCCTAGTTTCTGAGTGTCCTGCTCTGAAAACAAAGCTCCTGGTGTCTGACCATAGCCGTCACGGGTGGCTGGACTTCCGAACGCTGATTAAGTAAGTTTCAGATCTGATGAATGTGTTTTCTAAGGAAGGACAAGAGAAGACCATTCACTCCCAAGTGCTGGTAGACAAACATTCAGTGGGAGAAGGTCACCTGGGCTGATGCCAGAAGACTTCTCTTCCCAGCTGTGCCCCCGATTTGTTTTGTGACCCTGGGCTGGTTCCTTCCCCTCTCTTGGATGCAATTGCTTTATTTGTAAAATAAGAGTATTGAACTTCTATGCCTCTGTCACTACAGTCTAAACACTTTAGTGCAAATGAGATGAGTCAGAGGGTTATTGTGTTGAATCTTCCTTGTAGGTAGGGAACCTGAATTATTATTTTTATATAACAAACAAATATATGAAGAGGTTGAATGAACGTATAAGATGAATTTTTAAGGGAAACTTGAGACTGCAAGAAAAATTGAGGCTGTGGCTGGTAGTCAGCTGGGGGAACAAACAATTTCCATCTCTCAGGTGCTGCATAGCTTTAAGGACACCTCCCAGGGAAAGTTAGGGAAGTGTTGGAAGTAAGAAAGACCCCTTCCACCAACAACTCTGATTCTGTAAACCTTTAGACATTTTTTCTATCACCTGAAAACCATGCTGTGTTTGTTTTCTTAAAGTAACCCCTCAGTTTTTAAAGTTCTTTACTTCAGCCTCAAAAAGCAAATATTAGGCTGAAGTCACATCTTACACTGGATTTTAAAGTCAGAGAACTAAAAGAAAATGGCTTAAATAAAGAATACTCTTGGGGTGCCTGGGTGACCCAGACAGTTGAGCATCTAACCTGATATCAGCTCAGGTCATGATCCCAGGATTGTGGTACTGAGCCCCGCATTGGGCTCTGTGCTGAATGTGAAGCCTACTTAAGATTCTCTGCTTCTCTGTCTCTCTCTCTCTTTAAAATAAAAAGATTTAAAAAAGGATATTCTTTAGATTCCCTTAAATTGCCAAAAGTCAATATGGTACCATTTCTCAGCAAGAGTTGGTGTTACTGGCAGCCTTGGGATCATTTGCAGTTACTATGATTGAACACCATAGGGAATTGGCATTTATAAGCATAGACCCAAAGGAGAAACTGTCAATTCTGAAGCCCCCAAGAATCAAGGCACACCGGGGGGACTCCAGGCTTACCTACCATCTCAAGTTTACACCAAGACAGATGTGCATTTATGTTTCTTTTACTCTCCCTCATTTTCTTTTCCCTGCCCCTCATAGCCAAGATTATGGGGTTAAATTCCTATAAAGCTACTTCATATAAAAAAAAAACACAAGCTTAGCAGTGTGGTTAAGAGCACAGTCTGTGGATCAGACTGAATTTGAATCCTGGCTGTACCACATGCTGGCCAAATGTCTTCAGGCAAGTAATGTAACCTTTCTGAGCCTCAGTTTCCTCCTCCACAAAATGGGCACAATAAAAGCAGTACTTCTCTTTTAGGGTTGCTCTGAAGATTGAATGAGTTCTTATTTGTAAGTCACTTAGAGCAGTGCCTGAAAGATATCAAGTGCTATTTCAATGTTTGTTACGTTAAAAATATTCCACTATATTTCCCCCCTTTTGTAAATGAATAAATGTCAGTCTACTTATCCAAGTCACTCACAAATTCCGTTTGATTCTTAATACAAGGAGAACTGGTTTTTCCTCCAGTGTTGTAAACCTCCATTTTTCTGCCTCCAAGCCCCTCATATTGGATCCCCAGGGATCCCAAAGCAGGAAACATGACTTCTCCCCTTTTGTACTGAATCCCTTTGCAGATCAGCATCCCCAGATCACGCCTGTATTAAGTCAAAGACGCTGGACCCAATGGCCATCTTCTTCACCAGTGGGACAACAGGCCTTCCCAAGATGGCGAAACACAGCCATGGACTTGCCTTGCGATCCTCTCTGCCTTCATGGTAGGAAAGAAGGCATTGACTTAGATGCTGGGCCACAGATCTGGGGTGGTGTGTGTATGTGTGCATGTGTGTGTGTGAGCACACGTGTGTTGGGAAAAGAGCTCTAAGTAGAATTGACTCCATCCTGTTTCTTCCCTCTGGGCTCTTTGGTTCAGACTCCTGAGAGTCTTGAGATGTAGACACTTGGAATGCTAACGGTTTGCTGACAGAGGCCTCTGATGACAAAGGAGGCACATTTAGGTCCTGCCTGAGCACCTTAACAAGAGGTGTGTAGGAAATGTGTGCCCGCATTCAGCAAACCACACAAATGACAAGCCATTGTGTCCCTCTCAATTGACTCAGGGTTTGGTGGTAAAAGACACAATGTGTGAACAATGCCACCTGAAGTGGCAGGTCCTTTCCTCTTCCCAGTTATGAACACATGAAACTTGGAGTTACCCAGTCGTGAGCTCTCAGGAAAAAGAATACCTGGAACCAAGCCACAACATGCCACTCCCCCTAACCTAGAACAAACAGTCATAGAGGCTGAAGCTGTAGCCTTGGGTTAATCACTTAATCAACGTTTAACTGAGCCTCTTCTCCCATCTGTCCCTACCTCACATAGTAATATTCACACCAGATCGAGTTCTATATATTTTCTAACTTATTAACCAGACCAGAGGGCAGACAAGGCTTTTTGTGGACAGTGACTATCTGTGCAGATGCAGCAGTTTGCAATGGTAGCAATTGAGTAGCGAAACTCTGGAGGAATAGGGGTGGAAAGAAGGCAGAGGCTTTCTGTGCAGTCTGAATAACAAGAGCACAGGCACAAAGATATTAAAAGTAGCATTATAGAACTACAGACACTTGAGGATAGCTGGTGCTCAGGGTGTGGGGTAAGAGACATATGGGAGGAATTGGGAACCAGTGAGCAGGGCTCAGGATCTTGTGGGCCTTGGTGTAGAGTTTAGAGTTTTTTAGGCAGATGATGGAGATGTATTGGAGTAATGGGATGTATTTTAGCAAGGGAAAGACCTGATCACATTTGTGTTTTGAAAAGATCACTGTGGCTGCAAGATGAAGGGAAGCAGAAGGGGTTAGGATCTGCTGGGTTTGAGGTGCCTGAGGGACACTGCAGAAGAGATGTTCAGTGGGTAGTTGGGTCTGAAACTGAGAAGACAGGTCTTCCCAGCTAGTAGTATTCTGTGGGTGAGCCACAATCCTAAGAGGGCTGTGATGAGGGAGGGTGGATTGTTTATTAAAGTTAATAGTAAATAGTTAGTAAAGCTCCTGTTAATAGTAAAGCTCCTCAAAGCCATAGTTTAGTAAATAGTAAACTATTACTAATAATAAATAGTTAGTAAAGCTCCCATAGCTATGGGAGGATTGTGTTTTCTCAAGGAATTATGCACACAGACATCCCTCAGAATCACTAAGATAGGATAGAGAAATGAGAAACCTTTCCCACCCCGCTTTCTAATTATTGCCTATTGGATAATTGTTTCCAGTCCTTGCCAAGATGGGGTATTAATTAGGGTCTTTCTCTCTCTTTCTTTATTTCTATCTCTCTCTCCCTCTCTCTCTTTCTCCATCATAAATGACAGAAAGCCCAATCTCAACCTCTTTAAGCCTAAAAGTGAATAAAGGAATTTATTGGATCATGAGGCAGGGCACTCCAGGGTTTGGCTTCAGACATAGCTAGAGTCTCTGGATCAGGTTTTTATCTCTCCATCTGATGTGTTTTGTTGCCCTTCTAAGAAAGGCTTATCCCTTGTTATGCCCAAATAGCTGCCAGCATTACCTAGGACTATATAAGTAACAGAGTCAATTCCCAGCCTTAAGGATCATTATAACTAAACCCATTGAAATCACACATGACCAGAAAATAGGATTTGGCATGCTTTAGGGACCTGGGGTGGGAGTGTGTCTGGAGCCCACTCAAACCACATGCACTGAGAATGAAAGGTGGGTCACCCCTGAAAATCAGAGTCCCCAGCCCTTGATCACATTCTCATGATCACCTAGCTGAAGTCACTGTATTTTGGAGTTAGCAGGAAATTTCTACAACTGAAGACATCTGATGTCTTGTGGTGCATTTCGGACCCAGGCTGGATTCTGGCTGTCTTGGGGTGCCTGTTTGAACCATGGACATCAGGGTCTACACTCTTCATCCATCATCTGCCCCAGTTTGACCCCAAGGTCATTCAACAGGTAAGAAGACAAACCTTCCACTATCAACAAACTCCTAGAAGAAACTCATGTTTCAAACTCAAAAGCTGGACTGCTGAGAGATATTTTATTTAGCAAAAAGTCTCATTAGCGTAATATAACCCTGGTTCTGGGTTTCTCAAAGTGCAGAACACTGAATTAGTTACTGTATAAGAATAACACTACATGAAACCTTGAAGAAAATACATATTCCAAGCCCTTCCCCAGGCCTATGGATCAGATTTTGTGGGCTTGGAACCCTGAATAAACATTTTAAGAGATTAAACCAACCAGAGAAAGCTCATGTCTCCTGGATCCTGGACCCTGTATCTGCCAGAACAGATAGCTGGTGCGTGTGTGTGTGTGTGTGTGTGTGTGTGTGTGTGTGTACGTGTTTTGTTGTTGTTATTGCAGTTGCTCAATTTAATGAAGGGTTTAAAAACAGAGCCCCTAGAAAATGCAAATCTGGCTTCTCATGCCACATTTGACATTTATTTGTGGTTTACTTGCTACTGTGAGCCTCAGTTTCCTCATCTGTAAAATGGGAGTTTTAATAATTCCTATGTCACAAAATTGTTGAAATATAAATGAGATGGTACAGGAGAAGTGGGTGAAGTGCTTAGCCCTGAGTTGGCACTCAGAGGCACCCGGCATGCAATGATGGCTGCTGTTCCTGTTAGGTGTATCTCACAGTAATAACTCAAGTCACCCGTGTGAACCCTCTCGTACTTCCATTCACCTGAAAATGTGTTTTCCATCTCAGAGGTAGACCTGCCCCTCCACCTCTCAAAGTTCAGTCCCCTCCCCACAGCCCCTGCAGATCTTGTTCTTTTCTCTGTCCTTCTGTTAGGAGCCCTTCTCATTAATCTTTTTTTTTTTTTTTTTTTTT